GCAAATATGTTTAGATAATTATATGGAGTACATAAGTTTTTGATTATGAAATCAATATGATTTTCGTTGAGATTGTTAGTGATTGTTCATCTCGTTGCTGATGATTATATGTTTAGTAAAAGCCTTCATAAATAGCTAGATCAGAGTTTATGAGAACAGAATTCCCATTTGAGTATTGGGATGATTGATTTTATATATTTTTACAACCAACAATGTATTATGAATTCTCCCATTATAATTGACTTTTGGTCAGGAGCCAAACATTTTTCATCTTAGAATGTGCAATATCTATTATTCTACACAATAATACACATAGATAGATATTAAAAGTAAGTTGGGATCATTGTTGGACAAGAATCTCTTTATTCTTGTTTGTCTCTAAATGAAGCAAAATAATGTTTCTAAAGAAGATTTATGGATTTGAGGGGCCTATATTACATGTTCCCAATATGAGAGGGAGAAAATATGTAGCTGGAAAAGAAAACACATAAAATGTATTTTCACTATCAAATATAGATCCTCAAATATAGTAGTATGAACTAGAAGTTCATAAAGTATTGCATTTGTAAAACATTACTAATGTCTGCCAGATGCAATTATTGACCGAAATGAGAATTTTTAGTTCTTACATTCTAGCAAAAAAATACTCCTATTCTTGAAGACATGCTAAAAACATGAGATTATGATCGGTTCCAAAAGAAAAGAAAAAAGAGCAAATGATCATAATGATCATACTAATGAGGCATGAATTGTAAAAATGGTTAAGACATAACTCTTTGACCCTTGAAGAGGTTTAAATGTTTGAAAGCAATAAAGAGATCTCGATATATTATGTCATAAAAGAAAATAGGACCGATAAAGGAATAAAATTGTCGAGAATAATTTGATTGATGATATCACATGATCAAATGAGGATCTTATATATAAATCTGTTATGAGATATACACAGAAAAATGATTGGCCAATAGAAAAGAAAAGACGCAACATTATAACAGGAGATTTGTGTATCTCTAACCCAAGCACCTGAAGTGTAATGGGCATTTGTACAAGAAAAGAGAAATACAATTTTGTGGTGAATTAAAATTTTTATGTATCTTATCAATCTGACATTTTGATAATATATGAAAATATCTCATATGCGTCTAGAAAATACAGTGACTCACTATATAGTGAAATTATATATGAATCCCAGAAGGATTCAAATCCTTGTATAAATATGAACGATCCAATACATGAATAGATATAGATCATAATGTATGAAAATCCTTAAAAGATTTAAGTTTCTAGAAGCATACAATTATGTTCTCAAGAACACTATTGAAGTAAGTCTTTATGTAAGACATATGTGGTTAATATCAACTGAAGGAATGATGTAAACTTATTCCAACTTATATGTTTGTAAAAAGATTCAAAATGAGTCTGTTATCAGTACTATTTATAATGATAGTATCAGAACTCCTGATAAGTTTTCAAAAGTTACGAATTACTTAAGGAAAAAATTTGAAATGAAAGCTTTCAGAAAAATACATATAGATAAGTCACATCTATTATGTAGATAAACAACATCCATTATATGTTTCAGTAGTTGCAAGATCTTTAGATATAGACTAAAGATCGATTTAGATCTCCAGAAGGTAATGAATAAACACTTGGTTGAAGTACCATATCTTAGTATCACTGAATCATTTATATATCTAGCCATACAGAATCTGATATATGCTGATTAGCATGATATAGTTCTTTATCAACATGAAGATGTTGGAATGGAATTAAAAATATTCTTCATTACTTTAAGAGTGTCATGGAGGTAATATTATTTTATTTGAAGGTACCCAAGACTAATCTTAATGTCTATATAGATAAAGTATTTTTGTTTGATCCTCATGTCAAAAGATCATAGTATGATTCACATGTGGGTAAACCATAAAAGGACTATTTATCTCATAATTTTTAGAAGATTATGAAATTCATATTTGACGTTTTTATCTCATTACAATATTTAGAAGGGTTGTTCGTTATATTAGATTTTGCAAGATCGAAGATGTCAACTGATGTTGTTAAAAGGGGGAGTTGATATATGCTGTACTCTTTTTTTCTTGTCTATGGTTTTGTCCCACTGGGTTTTGCAGCATTGCATAGTGTATCAATAAATGATGTACTCTTTTTTTTTTAACTAGGTTTTTATCCCATAGGGTTTTCTTAGTTGAAGTTTTTTAACGAGACACATTCATATATATTGGATATCCAAGGAGGAGTGTTATGAATATAATAATATTTTTATAGATATCCATATATCTCTCATTATCTCCTATATCTCTTATAATCTCTAATATCTCACATTATCTTTATATCCCACAATTATCTCATATTATTATGTAATCAGTAGATTCTATCGAAGGTGTAAAGTCGTGCCTATAAATAGAGGCCATGTATAATGTATTGAATATACTTGAATAGAATGAGAAGTACTCTCTCTTATTGATCCTCTCTTTTTTGTATGATTCTTCTCTATATTTTTTTTTATTTATAACAAATATAAATAGGATTAAGTGTTAGGGTCTTTAAATTTTAATTTGAGTAACTAAGATCAGATAGCTTTGAGTCATAAAGTTTGTTTAAGTTTCTTTTAAATAATTAAGATTTTAAAATAATCCTTTTCTTATAATTTTGTGTGGCTAGCTTCTAAAAATAATTAGATTTAATAAGTGAGAGATGACATTTATAAAAATACATAATTACTCTGGCAAATGAAAACAAAATTACATAAAAGCATCATAACATAAAAGAGTTGCCAATAATAAATTATTTTTAATAAAGCAATTTTGCATGAAGTCTTTTTATTTATAAAATCTTAAAATTTCCTGAAAATAACTTATTCTTTTAAGATTAAACAAATGAACCATAAATCCATATTCTACATCCTTGTACAAATGTGAACGAAATTATTATGAACAGAACTGCCATTTGTAGAAAATGCACGATTTTCAGTTTATAAATATATATAGACACTTTTCTTGTCTTATTTATAAGTCATTTACAATATGTAAAGAACAATTTTAAACTTCATTAACTTTCATTTAAAATTCAACAACTTTTCAACTTTGTTCCTATTTAATATATATTACACTTTATGTAAACAAAATCAATACAATAATAAATAAAGGATAAAATTATATATCCATATAAAAAAAATTTTCTAGTGCGATAAATGCAAGACCAAAAATGTCTTCTTTTTCTATCCTATAAATAACACTATAGAAGTTTATATATACTACCTCCGACACTTAATAGAAGATATTGTTTAACTTTTATTTTGATCCTAAATATAAGGTCTCAATCTACTTTGTCTCTTATATTTATCTATTTTTTTCCAAGATAATTCTTTTAATAATAGTAGTTCTAAATAACAAACTTGATTAGTAAAGATATTTTAAGAAAAATAATATCTATTTATTATAAATAACTAACTTAACTAAATTTATTAATCTTTTTAAATTAGTTAATTGGATCTTATAATTAAAACTAGAAGTGGTATTTTTTGACATTTTTTTTTTTCAAAAGAAAGACCGTCCAGTTGGCTAAAAAATTTGGTAAGTTCCACATTTAGTGGAAAGAGGACAGCTGGTGCAGAAACTATTGGCTGTGACGCAGCATAATTCAAATCATCATTCCCTTTTCAATGTACGGTAGGTCACCGGCCAATCCAACTTTTTCCATTTTCAGTGTATGGCTGCTTCACAAGGATTTGATAAAACCCATTCACATTATGCAACTCCCTCCATAAAGAAGGTTATCTCATGTGTCTGACATGGACACCCCAAAAACAAAAGGTCGAATGTTTCTACACACATGGCCCACGCCATATTTGACAGCTTTTGTCCAGTTCATTCACCCATCCATAAAAAACTGACACTATTCAAACATAAAACATAAATAATTACTTTTCTTAATATTAAAAAATGGAAAATTGCTGAAAAGTTTTCCATTGTAAAATTTATTGCCTGGCAACCAAGAGCCTAAGTCGTTGATGGGTGTAATTTTTTTCATCTATGTGCTTTCCGTTTTACATATAGTTAAATATATATTACACGTAATTGAAGAAGAATTGTATTTATTGAGGATAACTTATACTACCTCCGGTCCTTAATATAAAATTTTGTTTGACTTTTATTTTGATTCTAAATATAAGATCTCAATCCACTTTGTTTCTTACATTTATATATTTTTTCTTAAGGTAATCCTTTTAATAATGATAGTTCTAACTAATATACTTGATTAGCAAAGATATTTTAGGAAAAACAATACGTATTTATTACAAATAACTAATTTAACTTTTTTCCTTAATTTCCTCAAATTAGTCAACTAGCTCTTATAATTAGGATCGGAGGTAGTATTTGGGGTTTTTTAAACAAATTTTGGCTAAAATTATATATTTTTCTTGTTTAGTCTTAACTTCTCTACATGCATGTAATCATGGTTTTTTAAACACTCTGGGATGCTTGGTTGCCTCAAAAGTATTTTTATGTAAGTTGAGATAAAACTTTTCTTACATATTTACTTCTTATATTATAAAATTACTTTTAAAACCATGATTTAGCTTTTATCCAAACACCCCTTAAATTCAACATTATTGCACAACTTAGGTTTCAAACAACTTGAGTATATACAGAGAGGGGACAATAAGGGTATGTTTGTATTGACGTCGTATCGTGGGCAAACACAAATACAAACATGGACTTGTCTTCCATGCAAGATGGCATGATAGGTCAAATCATCACAAATATAAAAGAAGTCATGAAATTACCACATCTAATTCATATGTGAAATATAGATTCGATTAGTCAAAGTTTTCTGGCTCAATGACACTATGCCCATTGTGATGCACGAGTTTGATTATCCAACAAAATAAAATCGATAACATTCTCTGTTTTAGGAGGGATTTTCATGTCACTAGACTATAGGTACATGGACATGACTTCATCTACCAACTAATTTAAGCAAAAATCAATTTCACTAATTATAACTATACAAATATATATTGGATGTACAAGTACATAAGTAAAATTAAAATTATATAAATATATAGTTATGATTAATGTAAATTATCCATTTTTTATGTGGATATAAAAATCTGATCCTGTGTATAAAGCGCAGAAGTTACCTATACATCTTGATTTTGTCCACCTAGCAGCATGTGGTGCGCTTTATTCTTTTTGGTCATAAACTTCGTTTTCACACGTTCAGGGATGGGCCTGCAGGTTTTTCATGCAACAAAATGATGAACTTTCCCACGCTTTTCAACGCCTCAATTAACGCCCATGCTTCATAAATTAAATCCTGTGACTTATATATTGAAAATTTCAGTTCACTTCAGCAGAGCTCAATGTGAACTACGCGATACTACCTCTCCTTTTTGCTTCTTCTACCATTCCAGAAATCTCTGAGACAAGTTCTTAGAACCATCAAATGCCCTTGATCTTCTTTAACAAAATCCGAATCCTCATTTGAGAGTTTGTCTTAGGTATCTTGAATTTTTATGTTGTCCTTGAGGTCTTCCTCAACTGAACATCTTATACCGCGATAATTTCAGAGTACACCTTCAGGTTCTTCAAAATTCAGAGCCAGTTAGTAGAACCAAATGAGCAAGTCTTTGCTTTTAGGCTTTTACATCACGGTATCCTGCCTCGCTTTTGTCATATCCAAGATCATTATCTCAGTCCTCCTCTACAAAAGATGGAAAAGAAAGCACATGATTCATGAAGAAGGCTATGCAGGTAAATCATGAACCATGAAAAAGACACGCATATATAAGATTAAGCCATAACAGAAACAGACACAAATAATACATAACTAGACATGTTTTCCCATGATTTGCATGGAATCTAAAGAATGAACTGTACTGTCCATTTCTTGTGAGAGATCTAGAGTGTGCTGTCTTGTATCTATGTCGATGTCTATGTTTTTTGGCTGACATCCAGTAATGAAATGACACAGGTGGGAAGATAGTAATCTTTAGGTCTTCAGTTCTGCAGTCTCTTGAATCTGATACGATCTTGAAGAAGATGATGAACCTAAATAATATGGAGGTCATTGGATGTGGTGGTTATGGGACGGTTTATAAACTGAAAATAGATGACTCAAAAGCTTTTGCAGTGAAAAGACTGAACAGAGGAACTGCAGATAAAGGATTTGAGAGAGAGCTGGAAGCAATGGCAGACATAAAACACCGCAATATTGTAACTCTTCATGGATATTATACTGCTCCATATTACAACCTCCTCATATACGAGTTGATGCCAAACGGAAGTTTGGATAATTTCCTCTACGGTATCTATTTGTGTTCCTTCCCTTTAGATCCTCTCCATTCATGCATTCAGAAAGATAATGACAGAAGAGAATGTGACTATGCATGGGACTCATCTTGTAATTACATTAATTCACTTTTTTCTTTTTAATCTCTCTTTGAATGCACCATCTATACTAATTTTTGTGAATAAAGAAAATTCAGACCAGTATTTCTTACTTCTTAGTCATTAGTTTGCCTAAGATTTATGAGACTTCCCCTCCCAAGGTTCCTTAAAGAATGAATAGTGAAATTTATTAACTTTGATATGTTCTGATCTCAAGTGGAATGTGATGCAGGAGCACCAGAGAAGAGGAAAACTTTGGACTGGTCATCAAGATACAGAATAGCTATAGGAGCTGCTAGAGGAATATCTTATCTTCACCATGATTGCATCCCTCACATAATCCACAGAGATATCAAGTCAAGCAATATATTGTTGGACGAAAACATGGAGGCTCGAGTTTCTGATTTTGGATTAGCCACGTTGATGGAACCTGACAAAACCCATGTTTCCACAATTGTGGCTGGAACTTTTGGATACTTGGCTCCTGGTATAGATACAACACAGTTAATCAGTCTTAGCTTCAACCCTCCATGTCAAAGTAAAAATTTATAAGATCTTTTTTCCCTGCAGAATACTTCGATACAGGAAGAGCAACGTTCAAGGGGGATGTCTACAGCTATGGAGTTGTACTACTGGAGCTTTTAACAGGGAGAAAACCCAGTGATGAAACATTTATGGAAGAAGGAACGAAGCTCGTCACATGGGTAAGACAAACTCTTAGAATATCCTCAATGTAATTTATAATTAATAGAAAAGTTTACATCTTACAACCTCATTAACGATTTAGGCCATTCAAATGATCAAACAGACTATGAAGTCTAGCACTGTGAGAATGCCTACATATAAATGTAAATTGAACACCACAAGAAAGTTTACCATTCTATTTGAATTTTCCATGAAATTATTAGAAGTGGCTTTTAATAATCATCAAATTGATCATAAATGCAACATTGGCATTTTAAAGAGAAAAAAAAAAACAGAAAATATATTCTACTGTGAAGGGCATAACATATGCAACATAACTTCTGTAAAATAAATTACTGTCATTTTTGGGGCAGGTGAAGGCTGTTGTTCAAGAAAAGAAGGAGGAACTAGTTCTCGATGATAGGCTAGGGACGTGTCCAATGCAAGAAGTTAACAATTTGTTCAATATTGCCATGATGTGTCTTGAATCCGATCCCTTGAAGAGGCCAACAATGGAAGAAGTTGTCAGCTTGCTTGAGCAAACGAAGGCGGACAAACTTGCTACAGCTTACTGATGTTCACTTGAAGACTAAATCAGCATACCAGCCTAACATAATTTCAAGATAATTATGTTCACCTGGAATGTTGTTCACAAAACATAAACTGACACGCCCTCCAAATTTAATTTATACAGGAACACCCTCTATTGACATAACTGTTAACGGAGCTTATACTCTGCATTTTTCCTTCTGGGAAGCTCAAAGAAGCCTAATTTATTGCAGCACAAATCATCAGAAGGCCAGCTTATGCTTAAGATAACTAAAAGCGATGGGCCATGCTTATTATTTTCACAATCAGAGGGGGTGAGTGTAGGTTCTAGAAACTTTGTATGTTCTCCTATAAAATGTAACCAGAGGAGGTTTTGAAACAGGAGGTGAATGCGGTTTGTTCCTTTTTTTTTTTTTTTGGTAATTATATCAATATATTATCGCGTAATGAGCAATACGATCACCCATCTCTAGCAAGGTTTGTTTGATAGTTTCAAACTGTTCATAGAAAATGAGCTGGATACATTAAACAACAGAGCCATCATCTCAACAAACAACGGATATATGATAATGCCTGAGGATGTAATATACTTTCTTCTACTTGAGTACTTTTGATAAGCCATCAGCCACTGATGCTTTCAAGGTGGAAGAAACAGGACTATCTCCAAAAAATACATCAAAAAGTGCAGAAGCAACATTTGCAGATTCAATTGTAGCATCCGCTGCAGATGGAAGCCCTTGAAATGAGACAAAAACCTGAAACCACATGAAATCTAGTTAAAGTATCATCACAAATGCAAGAGTGATGACTGAGAAAGTGACATTCTGCAACAAATTCAAAACATAAAATAAAAAGAAATAAACTGAAGCTACACATACAAGCAATTTAGAGGTGTCCAACCAAGTCAAAAATATGAAAGTTCCTTTCTTGAGAGGACGATTTTGAAAGACACTACGGAATGTGGACAAAGCAGCAGCATCTTCTGGTGTTGGTGCTTTAATTCTTGGAGAGATGGCATCATCTAAGGCATCCCAAAAAGTTTTGCCATCAACATCTCTGACAAGAATAATTTGTAATGATTTCTCAAAGGGAGCTGCAATCAAACAAAGGGATCCTTGTAAGCTTTAATCTTTCTCTAGCTTTAATTAATTAAGGGCATTGTGGGAAATTACACTTTGATAATTAATGAAGTCACTACATTGAAAAATGGTTTTGAACAAGGAAGAATTCCCTTGAATCGTATCTACTGGTTGCCCTTGCCAAGCATTCAGCTGACTTGTGATAGATTGATTTAGATACAATCCAGCAGCATACACCTTGACGCCGATGATTGCAAAAACCTTCTCTCTGTATCCTGAAATCATCATAACTTATAATAGTAAGGCAAGAATGCTTACCATTTAAGTGGAGCTAACCATATAAAGACAAGAATTCTAGGCGATAATAAAATGCAGATAAAGTATAACTGCAATTCAAGAACTTCTAGGTCACAACGCCCCAAAGTTCCATTGCCCTGTCCAAACGTGCGTTTAATGAGTTTGAGTAACTAACCAGTTCCAAACAGCGTTAATGAATTTGAGCAACCCGGCAAACTCAAAGATGCCTCAAATTTCACTTTTGTTGCTGGTTCCTCTACATATTCTGCATTTATGGCTGCAGTAATCAATTACAAGCACAGAAGATGTCAATTTTTAATAAGTTAGTGAGACAGAGAAAGAAGAAAAATCTATAGCAGTTTAACTCTACTCCTGTCTCCACCCTATCAAAACTAGAGTACACTAATCCAGAACCAGTGAATTAAGTTTTGAATTACTTTGCACTGCATACTATTCTTCCAACAAGAAAATTGGAAAAGTTAAAAATGGAAGCATTGGAAATTTTAGTGATTCAATGAATATGCAAGGAACAAAATGACGCAAGTACTCACGACTTCCAGTGGAGTTAGCTAGACAAATGCTTAACAGTCATTCTAATCTTGCGTAGATTTCTGCCAATAGTCTGGCCAGGGTTAAAAAAAAAAAAAATTAACAGGGCGGTACTTGGTAGTTTGAATTGACCTTGAATAACTTCACCTGAAAAGGTGCAAGCTGAAGGATTTCCAACAAAAATCATAACATTTTACAATCAACATGATACTTGCCAATGCCACCTGGTCTCAAAGACACCAAGGGGGTGCTCAATTTGGGGAGAAAAAAATTGAGCGAGATAAACCATGGAAGCTAATTTAACAAAGTAAAAAGTTTATTTTTTAGGTCACCAATAAAAACAATGATAAAGCAAGATATATGGCCAATATAATAGTGTATAAAATCTCAACTGTAGCAATACCATTAAAAGATCTTTCGAGCTTTTCCACCCAAACATCGCCAATAAAAATAATGATAAAGTTAGATATTATTCTGTTAAGGAAAAAAAAGGGTTCGGGTCAGATATCCCATGATACCTACATTTAACAAAGGAAAAAATATTTTTCTTTATAAAGGATCACTTTCCAGTTCGGCATTGTTGTCGATTTCAATGCACAAAGGGGATTTCATAAGAAAATCAGCAACTTCTCCCATTCATGCGCATAAAAAGAATCAATTGAACAAGAACCGAACCAATAATTCACAAAATTGGAAGAAAAAAAGAAACAAAAACGCGAATACAAAAGACGCTGAGTGCCCAAATGCAAATACCCGAAGATGAAGATGAAGATGACGCAGCTACTTTATGGAAATGGGTTTGTTGTCTGCTATTTCTGTAGAAAGAGAAATGCAGATGATTCAATTGAAGTCTTGATTTTGAACTTTTTGTGAGAAAACCAATTCTGGGAACAGAATTGCCGTTGGTGAAGTTGAATGGTGGTTGAAGCCACAATGCAGTGGAAGTTGCAGTAGCTCCGAGCATTTTGGAAGCTGAAGAAACAATCGTTGGGTCCAAACTTATAGCACTCCTCCGAGCTTCTTGCCTTGCTTTGGTTTGTTCGCCGCCGGGAACTGGAAGTTGTTGGAGTATTTGAACATCAATAAATATTCCCACAACAAGCAGTAACTAACTCAGCAAAGCGAAAATGAATATGCGTAAAATTATCTTAAATTACATTTTTCTTTCTATTTTTTAACTCATAACAAACATTATTTTTAAATACTTTTATACTATCTTCAGTTTTTAATATAAAAGTTAGTTAAAAATTAGTTAAATTAGTTATTTTTAATAAATAAATATTTTTTTCTTAAAATATTCTTATTAATCAAGTGTATTGATTAGAACTACCATTATTACAAGAACCACTTTAGAAAAAATATATATAAATATAAGAGCCAAAATAAATTAGGATTTTATATTTAAGATCAAAATAAAAATTAGACAAACTCATATATTAAGAACCGGAAGTAATATTATATTAGTATTAGAATATGATTACGATTATATTTATGAAATAACTGTCAATTAAGACAGTTAACTGTCAATTCTTCAAAATACTCCTATTAGAGATATTGTCAGGTACTAAATATAAACACCTCTCTAAGTAAAAATTCAAACCTTAGTCTAACATATTGTGAGAGAATAGTCACTTTCTTCTAGATCCTGATTAATGTAACAATATTAATTAGGGCAACTTATTATATATTACAGACTGAGGTGGTGTGTATGAAAACAAATACTATTAGAAGGAGTCCCTGTTAAGGTGCTTGATAGTACCTCGAGAGATTAATTTCTTATCGTTCGGGTGAGAGGATACGCTAGGTAACAAAAGAAAAATCTCTAAAACGATAAAAAAAAAATTATAGAGAAGTGCGCGCACATGTGTATCAAAATTTAAGAGAAACATAAAAATTGAAAAGAGTGCTATGAATATTATCAAGTATGGATATTCATATCCTCTTCCCGTTCAACTTCATCAACTCCCATTACTTCTACTAAGAATTAATCTTCCACTACTCCTCCACTATATCTTTAATCTTGTAACTCACCATCCACTCATACTCATGTGGTTTATTTATTATTTAAGTATAAATGTAATCTATGTGTAATATTATGCCTATAAATATGGCATACCATTATATTGTGAAGCAAGTGAAGGAATACAATATTATTCTCTCATTTTTTTGTCTATGTCTTTTTTTGAATCCACTTTTTTTGTTGGTTAATTTCATAACAAATACTCCTCTGGTCCTTAATATAAGACCCATTTAACTAATTTGATTAGATTAAGAAAGTTAGGTAAGTTAGTTAATTATAAAAAAAATGATACATTTTTTCTAAAACACCATAATCATCTTTCTTAATACCTCATCTCCTTCTTCTACTTGATTATGGTTGAGGGAGTATCCATAGGGGTAATTTAGAGAAAATTGATAAATATGAGAAATTGGTCTTATATTTAGAACCAAAACCAATTAAAGAATTGGGTTCTATATTAAGGACCGGAGGAGTAACACTTTAAACTTGATACCTCATTGTATGGTAAAAAAATAAAAATATAAAAACGAAAATAAGTGAGAGAGCTCTCTTTCATAAAGCTGCTTTTGAAAAATGATTTACATTTTTCTATACATATTTATTGCTTTGAATAAAGATGCATTTAACATCATGATCTTATTTTCTAACTACATTCAATAACTTGATATTTTATATAATACATTCAGCATTCTAATCTTATTTTCTTGAAATATCCAGTACCTTAATGTTATTTTTTTAATTACATTTAGCACCTTAATTTTGTATGGTGCTAGATATACTATAAATAAGATTAAGATGCTGGATACACCTGGAAAATAAAATCAGGTTGTTTGATGTACCTTATTGTTTTTAACTAATTTTAATTAATGGCAAGAAAGACTACTAATGACGAGACTACGTTTTACATACAAAACAAGACATGTTTTCATCAGTGTATGAATCCCATCTTTTATTACCTTCAGATAATTTGTGTTTTGGTGAAAACATTCAGATAATTTCCAAAAAAATATCACTTCAGACTCTGCGCAATAAACGGATCAGTACACAGAGCAATCTTCTGGCTTAAATAAAAGAAGATTATTGAGCAGATCATAACCAATTAAGAAGTTAATCTGAGCCAGGACCCCATAGGTGCCCAAACCTGAAGTTGAAGCAAAAGGCCGAAGAGCAAGGCTCAAACGTTTTACTGGGCTATTAACACGTTTTGATTTAGTGTCAACCACTTTTGCAACTTCTTCAAATTTGTAGGAAAACTCTTGTGGCAACGCAGTTAGTGTTGTTGTCCCTGAATCTATGATCGTACTGCCCTCCCTCATTGCTTTCATGTTTGAGCTTGAAACATTATCACCTGCAAGAAACACTCTAGTCGAATATGAAAACGAAGATGAGTGTCACAAATGATAAACATACAGAGTTGTTAATGTTAAGATACAAATTTGCCTTTGAAGTATTCACTTAGGAGTTTTGAGCATCCAAAAGTTATTTTTGAGTACAAATTTGTTACAAAAATTTAAAATTATAGTAATATAGCCCCTTATTGTTAAAAATATTTTTTGGTATAATTTTACCCCTCCCATAAATTAGAGGTAAAATTGAAAAAAAAAATCATAGAAAAATGGGGTAAAATTGCACTTCAGAAATAATATTGGGAGTTAAATTGCATATTTAGCTTGGATATGTGCGTTTTGTGTTAAAGTCACCAAGATTGAATCATGTCACCTGCAATAAAGTTTAGTCTGGTGCCTTCCACACTGATTCCTTCCATCCTGAGGTAATATAAACTGCTTCCAACCGTTGGTACAACGGGGGTGGACACAGTCCTAGGTCCAGAAACCGTAGCACTTTGACCAAAACTCAATTTACCAGACAAGTCACCACTAAAGAATGGATCAATCAAACAATACGGAAATTTGCATTTAAAAGAAGGACCCATTTGTGAGATCAACGAGAATTGACCTTTCACAAGGCCAACAACACCAGATGTCTGCGAAGAAACCTCAACGCCACCATTATCATATCCACAGCGAAACGAGTCCCAGGAAATGCAGCGTTGGTACCATTTGTTAGGGCAAGTGTGAGTGTGTCATAACTTACAAGTCCCTTTGTAACCAGATCATTCGCATAATGAAGAATCACTACAAGAGATCTGAGCCATAGAAGATCTTGCATAATGGCATCGTGGGGTGTTGAAATTAGGGCTTACGTAAGTGGATGACTTTAGGGGGGATTACAACCAAGTCCCACGAAAGAAAAATAATTACCGAAAGGTTCTAATAACAACCTCAACAACTTATAATAATAAGCCTTATAGTGAGAATGACAACCTCTAAGACTTGTTTTTTAATTGTTTTTCTTGTTTGGGACCTCATTGTAATTCTCCCATGACTTTAATGGAACAAATTTTGGCAATGCTGCAAATAGTAAGTTGCATTTTGGCTAAAACGCTGTCGTTTCTGGACCTTTGGCCGTCTCTACTCCGCTTGTGGCCGGAGACTCAAACAATCACTATTATGTTACCCCTTAGGGATTCAGTGTGCATGGAAGACACAAGCATAGATTTTCCAGCAGGTAATTAGCCACTTGACAATCCCGGCCACTTTCATTACATAACCTCGCAATTCATTCAATCATTTTTTAATTGACAAAATAATTTCGAATTCCGTTGATTTTCTTCTAATTGTGGGTTCAATCTCACTTTAAACCTCAAATCAACAGTGTATTGATCCCTGCAATTAAAAAAATTACTCCTCTAGTTGTAAATGTAAGAACTAATTAGGGAGTTGGGTTTAAACCTAATTGTCAAACCTTCATATAGGAGTATTTTAGGAACATCATGTCATATTTGTTAGAATTAAAAGCAGCTGTTACATGTTATAATTGTATTAAGATAATTAAGAGACTAGAGTTGATCATTGCAAGATCACTAGTGGAGAGCAATACAGCGATTGACTCAGGATCAATAATGTCATTTTTGCCGCAAGATTTGTACTTCAAAGTGGAATCAGAGTCGCAAAAAAGATTATGTGAAATCGCAGTAATGACCCACGCAATGTTTTCAACCTTTGATATGAATCAGAAGGTATTGAAGGTGTCAAAGCTCCAATTATAACTGCTCACTTGTCACCCAAAACGAAAAAAAAACCGCTCATTTCAAAGGTGCTGATGTGAGGTTAAATCCGATTCATACCTTCGTTGTAGTTTCTCCAAATTTAGCATGCTTTGCTTTTCACGTTTTGGAAGATTTAGGACTCATAGGCAACTTAGTTCAGATGAACTTAAAGGTTGGCTTTGACCTTCAAAACAATATTGTCAACTTTAAGCCAATGGATTGCACCACGCTCGAACCACAAGGAGGCTTAGAGCATCAGGGCATGTTTGTTTCGCCGTTTAATAAATCTATCTGCTATTTTAGCATTACTTGGTCAAATTTAAGTTTATCTCATTCAATTATGAAAATCCTTGAAGGATATATTTCGTAAGGCATGATACCTCAAAAGGGTAATTTTTTTTCCCCAAAAAAAAAAAAAAGAACAAGAAAAGGGCAAACGAAAGCCCCTCAGTGAAAGGCTTCATTTGGTGAAACAGTACGTTATTTTAAGCTTGATTGTGCAGCACTTCACTCTACTTCAATCAGTCATTATAGTCCCAATTCAGTAAGTATAGCATCATTTGAAGGTGTAATTTTAGATTATTCTTGAAGCAATTAGATTATATAAAAATGCAGCAAATACATGTGGGAAATTGAAGAAGAAATTAGATAATATCGGGCCAAACAGATTAGTTCAAATTTCAATTTCGAAGGAGAGATGGAAGAAGCAAGTCAGCATTTGATCATGCGCAGATTCGGATCGAAGAAGCAACTAGATTAATGAGATTGAAGAAGCAAGTCAAAACAGCCACTCACAAGCCACCATGGAAGGTTTGGATCGAAAAAGCTTCTTGTTCCCACTAATTTCATGCAGTTGAAGACCTGGATGAAGAAGCTTCTCATTCTGCAACAAACAAGGATTTCCGAGCTTGAAAAATGAAGAGGCGAGGATTCTGAAATTCATACCACCGTCTCACCCATGGCACCTTCGCATGCACAGACGCATCTTCTCGCCCTCAGTTGAAGGGTTGTCAGCAATGCATCCAGGATAGGATAAGGAATCTAACTTTGGGGGCTGAAGGGGACGGTTATGATTAGAGGATTTTGTTCAAAGGTTCAGATATTTTGATATTAATAGATCAGTGCATTGCATACTAGATGTAGAGAGCAAGCACCAATTCTAGCAGCAGACATTCAGGTCCCGCAGAGAATTAAGGTTCATCAACCAACCCAAATATCCTTGCAATTAAACAGATTTAACTTCTTCCCACAGTTTAAAAATCCGAAAAGAACACCTAGATTGGTCATCAATCACCTTCTGAATTCGTGCATCTCATACCCACAGAGATTAACCCTAAGTTAAACCCAAATCATATCATCAAGCAGTAAAACTCAAAACCCAAGCGCTGAAGATGTAAAATCACCAAGCAGAAACAAGAATCTAATGCCATATAAGAAATAAAACTCAAGCCCATGTGAGATTGCATCACCTACCCCTAAAATCCTTCAACCTTAACCAAGAAATCTCATGGAATGAGAGAGTAAAGATGTGTAGCAGGTCTTTCTCAAGATTTTAGCATCCCAAGGTGGTTGAACAAGTTCCCAAGACCAAAAATATAACACCCGAGCACAGCTCCATTTTTCTCCTCCTCCCTTTCTCTGTTTCATAATGTTGCCAGCCTTCTCTAAGTTCACCATCTGATGTGATCACTGTGGCCAAAAATCCATTCACCGAGGCCAATTCTCCTTGTGCCACAAAAATTCCCCTCCGAAGAGGAAATTTGCTGCGTCCAAATGTGGTGCTTTTGAGCTAAATCATCTCCCATCCACATTTCATATGAATGTGGTGTTTCGATGCTCTTTCTTGAATGAATGCAGCCATTGAACACATAAAGGTCTTCTTTTCAGTTTAGATAGTTCTCAGTTGTTAGAGGTCAGACAGTTCAATGATCATCCCAAAATTTTGTTTTTTAATACTAAGGATTAATCTGGCCAAACCATGCTATAAACAAATCAAGCTTTTCAACTCGCAATTTCAATCCAGCTTTTTCCAGCTTCCTTTGTCCCTACTGTCTTGACAGCTTCCCTAACTTGGCTTAAACTATCCCACATTCCCAGAGCTCCGTATACATTTGACACCGTTACATATGTAGAAGCATCTTCTGGTGTGGTAGCTAGAAGATGCTCAGCAACAATCTTTGCAAGCTCCCGATTCTTGTGCATGACACATGAATTGAGCAAAGAGCGCCATATGGTTTTGTCAGGTTCAAATGGCATGTCATTAATCAATTTTGCTGCTTCTTTGAAGTGTCCTGATCGGCCAAGCAGATCAACCATACAATGGTAGTGCTCTGGGCATGGTATTAGTCCATGTTCAGTTTTAATAGAATCAAATATAGCCCATGCCTCCTTGACTAGACCAGCGTGTCTACAGGCAGTAAGAACACCAATAAAGGTGATTTCATTAGGCTGGAAACCTGATTTTATCATCTCTTGCAGAAGCCTAATTGCCTCGACTGCTCTTCCATTTTGTGCACATCCCACAATAATCCCTGTCCAACATACAGTATCTATTTCTGAAAGACAACTAAACAAAGCTAAACCATCATTGATGTCACCACATTTTGCATACATGTCAACAAGTGATGTCATGGTAACACCTTCTGATTCATATCCCTTTTTGACACAATAAGCATGGATTTGCTTGCCACTTCGCAGAGATGATAAACTTGAAGAAACTTTAAGAAGGCTGGATATGACAAATTGGTCAATTTCGAGATCTAACTTGACCATATCCGCAAAGAGAGAAAAAGCTAATGCACCTAAACCCAGTCTAGCACATCCAGCAATCAAACTAGACCAAGCCACAGTATCCTTATCTGACATCCTTTCAAACAATCTAAGTGCACTGTCAATACTGCCTTGTTTTGCATATAGATCAATAAGAATGCTTCCAACAACAGAGTATAACTCATAGCCACAAGTTATTACCAAACCATGCACCTGAGATGTCAGTCTCAAATTCTTAAAGTAGATGCAGATCTTTAAAGCAATACTAAAAGAATAGGAATCAAATTGTGCACCAGAATTATGAATATGTGCAATCATATTAAGAGCCTTTGTGTAATCTTCATTGACAACATATCCAGAAAGCATAGAATTCCAGAGCGCCAAACCTAGAGTGACAGGACAGCTCGTAGAGTATTGATCAAATACCTTGATTGCTTCAGTTAAAAACTTGCAATTTGAATACATGTCAACCAATGCTGATATATTGTAAATGTTAGACTCAAAGCCAGACTTAATTATATGACAATGAATCTGTCCTCCTGTGATTAAATCATCAAGATAACTGCAGGTTTTAAGCGCACATGAGAATGTGTATGCATCTGGTTTAAGGCCCCTCCTATGCATCATAGATACAAATTGCAATGCTTGTGGACTACCGTTATATGCGAGGCCAGCAATGATACTGTTCCAAGTTACAAGATCGGGTTCTGGCATTCGATTGAACAATTCCAAGGCTTCGTCCATTAATCCTTCTTTAGTATAACCCAAAATAAGGGTGTTCCACGTAGTTGAATTTTTACACAGGATTGAGTTGAAAACTTGCTGAGCATCCCTCAAATTTCCACATTTGGCATACATGTCCAGGAGTGCATTCATCAAAGCAGTGTCACACTTCAACTTAGCTCTAGATATATCTTGATGAATCAGCTTACCCAACTCAGCATCTCCCACGAGACTACATGCCTTCAAAACAGCAGAGTACAAAAATTCATTGGGTTCCTGTGTTCTAGATTCCAGCATCTGACTATAAAGTTTAAGACCCTCACGAGGCCTCCCACGGTTGGTATAAGCGGATACCATTGTTGTCCAAGCAATGATATTTCGATCATGCATTTCATCGAAAAGCTTTTGTGCGTCATCTAAATGAGAGCATTTCACATACATGGATATCGTATTGTTTGCAAGAAATACTTCACTCAACAGTCCAAGTCTGATTAAATAAGAATGAAATGATTTTCCATGTTTTAAAGCTTGAAAGCGCCCACAACAGCTTAAACCTATCTGGATTCTGTTTAAATCCATTGAAACCCATCATCTTCAGTAAATTGTCCTTGTTGATCTGAACCATGCAAAATTGGAAATTGTCCTAAAAACAACATCTTTAATGCATATCACAGTGGCCATGGACAAAAACCAGTATGAAAAGTATCTCCACCCCGCAAGATGAAATTGGCGCCAAGACCGCTATAGCAAGGCAACCTATGATAACAAACAGCGTTAGCCTGACTCCCCTACAACATCTGATCTTCCAAAAACCTTCCAAATAATAATGGCCAGAAAAAGGGGGGAATTCCAAATAGTAAGAAATAGTGAGCCATGAAAAAGAAGTATATTATCAGCCAAACCAAATAAAAAACCTCTATACAGACACTCACAAAGCCGCTAAACAATTAAACTTTAAAAGGGTAACGAGAGATATAGAGGGGAAGAAAGGGTGAAAAGGCCAATTTGTTTCTTATCAATGTGCAGCCTCTCGTCGCCGCCGTTACCCCTCGTCCGCCTCCGACAATTGTCCCCGCCGTGGATCCCTAGATTTTTGCGCCTTGCCCCAAGTTCGCACCCATCAACGAGAATTGATTGAGACCGTCCGATAGATCCCACGGCCCAAACCTTAGACTGGAACCAATGAAGATGGAGAGAGCTACGGAACGGGGGGCCCAACATGCTTCATCACTACGAATTTACGCATTCGTTTAATTTAATTATAATAATTTAAAATTGCAATTTCAACCTTTTTTTAATAAAATTAATGATGGTAATATTAAAAACGAAAAATAATAATTTATCAAATCAAGAGATTAAACTCAAACTTTATCTAATTAGGACCGTAATATGCACTTCTGACATTCTATTATAAATTTTAATTTATTAAAATTCATTAATTTTTGCAATCGTTTTTTTTCTCCTCCAAACTCACCTAACAAATCCAAAGGGCCGTTTGCAAAAAGGGGAATTTGCATGAAATTAAACTATACTTTAAAGGTATTTTTTACAGATATGAAAAGATGTTTGGCAAGTAATAAAATATTTTTAAAAAACATTTTTTTATAAATTGTAATAAGTTTCTCTACATATTTACTTCGTATATCATAAAATCATTTGGTATTCATCCAAACACCTCTGAAATAAATATACAAAAAAGTTTGTCTCATTTTATAAAAAAAGTGTTTTTTAAAAAACATTTTTTCATATTATCCTGTATCTAACAAAATGGCTTTTAAAAAAATATTTTTAGAGAAATTGAGATAAATTTATGGGAAAATTGTAAAAAAAGATCTTATAATTACAAAAACGCAGATAGAAACCCTTGACAACTTTATTTTGGGTTTTGATAATAATAATATGTCATGAATTGTTAAAATCTAAAGTGAAGTTGTTAAGAGTCCTTATATGTGTTTTTATAATTTTAAGGTTTTTTTTTTAAAATTTTTCCTATTTATTTCATTTATATCGTAAAATTTGTATATCATGAAATTTAGAGTTTTCACCCAACCCCTCAACTCGACCTGTCGCGGACCCCATGGATAGCATCTGAGCAACGAAAACCCAGTAAAATTAAAATCGAAACCCTCGAAAGTTAAGAGTGTTAGAAGCTTCATTGACTCGTCCTCGAATTTTGTCTCCCCTACCATCTCTCGCATGAAACAGCTGCCCCTCATAGACAGGAATATACTTTCCGGACCTGGTCACTGTTTCACTCCTTCCCTCTCACATTCCCTTTTGCTTCGTGTTAGCCGGTAGCTGAGTGTAAAACCCTACACGCTCACTGGGTCTGCTTTGAACCTTGGACCTCTGTGACCTGTTGAAGCTATGTCTACTCTTGAAATCGAAGCACGAGAGTGAGTTTCGTATTTCTGAATGCACAAACTTCATTGTTTTGGTCCCATAAGTGTTTTAGGCTTCTGTCGGATTGTTAGTTTATTTGTTTTCAATTACGTGAGAACTGTTTTGCAGTGTCATCAAAATCGTCCTCCAGTTTTGCAAGGAAAATTCCCTGCACCAGACATTCCAGACTTTGCAGAATGAGTGTCAGGTTTCTTTGAATACTGTAGACAGCATTGAGACATTTGTTGCTGATATTAATAGTGGAAGGTGGGATGCGATATTGCCTCAAGTGGCTCAACTTAAGCTTCCCAGGAATAAATTGGAGGATTTGTATGAGCAGGTATTTGCATGTTAGTTTGGTTGATTAATGAGTTTAAATCCCCTGTGGCTTTATAACAATCTTAACTGATTGCCATTGACTTTGTATCTAGTTAATGCTACAAAAAAAACCTATCATTTGTTTGAGGATTTTCGCTGGGCACTGAGTTTGAGTGAAATAGTAGGGTGCGATTAAAGGAGGGAAGACAAGAAAGTGGGAGTTAAAGCGGAGAAAGTAGTGCTGTGTGGTTGGAGAACATTAATAAAGGGTGTTTCTTAACAAAATAAATTGAGTGACAGGAGAAATTGGGTTAGTATTACCTAGTCGAATCTATGGAAAACTGGAAATTGATCTTTTAGATGTTTTTATTTTGCTGGTAAGCTTTTAGGTATGACCTCTTTTGTATTCTTTTAAAATATTATGAAGCTTTTTATGAAGTGAAGTAAATTTTAAATCCTTGAAGGCATCCTATTGATCACCTATGTTGCTCCTTTTCCCACCCTGGGAGCAATAATGCATTAACTTTGATCTGGAATCTCATGGTGATTTCGTAATAGTCAAGGGCAGTACTGAAAATTTTGCCACTGTTATAGACTCTGAACATTTGAATGGAGGCATGGAATCTGGTTTCGATCAGTTTGTGAAGGTTTGAAAGACAACAGCGAGTTCTGATCTCTCTGTAACAAAATTTACCCATGTTAATCTCTTGTGGGGATCTACAAATGACAACCTTGCATCTCTGATATTTGTAATATTTGGAGGACCCCAAACTTCATTGCTAGTGAGAGATAAGCATTGAGAGGGTTGATATGTATGAGAGGGATGGTGATTTAGCGTGTCTAGAGAATTGATAAACATCTGATTGAGGAAATGTACTTTTAATCATCAACTAAAGGTACACTTTTTTTATGCAATGAAAATTTGAACGGCCTACTGATCTGGCTTTCAATGTCATGATGAATCATCAGTTCCTTGATTGGAATAAGTAAAAGATAACAGAACACTGCTTCACTTCTCTGGTCTCTCCATCCATTTGAGCCCAATACTCTCTAGCATTGCTAGTCTTTTTCCCCAATTCCGAATGGTGAAAGTAAAAACCAAAGGTATCAAATTTTGTCTTACACTTCAAACCTTTGCTAGATAATCTATAGACCAAAGTTATTCATTTTTCCATGCTACAGGTATTTCACTGTCAAAACAGTTTAGTTATGTGTGAAGTTTCTTTTCATATGTGAATGTAGAAAGAGGAAAAAGCTAATGAGTTACTGACCTAAGTCTCCTCATCTATCTTCTGTATGATGATTAAGGTTGAAGTATGCATAGTCCATCCTACATGTACAACGAGAACATAACATAGCCTGATCCATATAATAGCAGTGAGGATGGAACTTAGGCAAACATGAGAGAGCTACACTTTAAGCCAGACAAATTGAAAATTGATATTGTTTGAAAATACATTCCAGCGAAGGTGTAGAAAATCTGAATACAGAAAAGTTGGTTTGATTATTGATTCCATCAATCTTGTAGACAGGGGGAGGGGGTGGGAGGGAGGTAAAGTCTGTTGAGCAGAACAGACAGAGAAGCTCTCCATTACTTATGTTAGGATGATTTGTAGGCATGTATAACCTTGGATGTCCATAACAGTTTATTTCCACATATTTCAGTCCAATAACAAATGTTTCAATTTTTGTTCACATGTTTGCAGATTGTATTGGAGATGATTGAACTTCGAGAACTGGATACTGCTCGTGCAATTCTACGGCAAACACAGGTGATGGGTGTCATGAAACAAGAACAACCTGAAAGATATTTGCGGCTTGAACATCTCCTTGTTAGAACATATTTTGATCCTAATGAGGTTGGAGTCTACTTCATGTTATTCGTTTTCTAATAGTTCAAATTAATACTTCTGTTGCTGAGTATGAGCTTATTAATATCAATATTCAATATTATATATATATTAAAAATTATGATTGAATTTGAGATCATGTGGACTTGTATTAAGGTAAAACGTTTTAATTTTTTAAGTAGATAAATACATTCAAAATATTGGGACCATACTGGTTAACTATCTAAGTGAGGTGAATTTTTAATTAAAGGAACAAGTAGTATCCCTATATCTGCTGGAGAATCGAGCTTCCAAATATTAAAAAAAAAAGAAGAAGATAATTGTCTGCGGGAATTGTTAATGTGTGCATTCACATTTTTTGTTGTATGGTATATAAGTTTAATTGTTCTTTATGTTTTTCATACTGTATGAGCATCATATTTTGAATATGCTCTGATGTTCGTTATCCCTTGAAGCAGTCCTATGTAACCATGGAAGTACCAGGTCTCTAAATCTTAATATGTCTCTTTTTTCAGCTTGTAATTTAAGTAGCTTATAGGTCATTGTCTTCATCAGTACGTGAATCCTATGCAAATAAAATTTGGCATCTTTTTCTGCTCTGGACTACAGAGTGACATGTTTTGAATCTATGTTGTTTGCTCCCTTTTTTGAAAAAGAATTGTCCATGTGATAGGCTTATCAAGACTCAACAAAAGAAAGGCGACGTGCGCAAATTGCCCAAGGTATTCTCCAAAATATTTTGTAGCTGCTGTGCTTAGCTGTGATATTGATTTTTATGGCTGCAATTATAGTAAATGTATCTTTCTTGATTGGAAAAAAAATGTTTTCTCCTTGATTGGTGGTGGAGTTACTATTTATTATCAGATTCTCTTCCTGTTGAGTTGCATTTCAAGATTTTTACTTTAAAAACGGAAACTTGCTTTTTTAAAAATGAAGAACTATTTTGTCCCTTGTTGAGTGGTATGGGTACTCACGGGATACCCAAGGCAGGCAATTCTACGTTTACCTGCCATGGCTTCTGAGGTGGGTTTCCTCATAGGTGTATTAGTGAAGGTCATCATAGCATAATCCCGAATAATATATATTCTTACGACAAACTAGGGCTGATGGATTTTCCATTTTTGCTCCTTTGTTATTGTTCAAGTATTTATTGCTGAGGTTAGCTTCTACTTCAAAAAACTGAGGTTTTCTTCTCCTTTGCTTTTTACAGCTGTTGCTGCAGAAGTTACTGTAGTGCCACCTTCCCGATTAATGGCTCTAATTGGGCAGGCTTTGAAGTGGCAGCAGCATCAAGGTGTATTTCTGCGGACAGATCAATTCTCCATTAGCTTACTTTCTGTGTCAACTTTTGTCTGAAATGAAAAATGGTCTATTCTTATGATATTTTGCATGGATTCTGCTTTCATTTGCAATTCACTATTTTCTTTAATTTCCTTCATTTCTGGCACATGTACGATGGTATGGGCATTTCTTTATTTC